TGCGCGATAAAGATGCAAGGGCACTGGACGTTCATCATGCGAAGCTTCTCGAGCGGGGCGCGGCCCACGAAAGCGGCCAAGGATGGGCCGAGGAGGCGAGGATGCAAGGGCACCCTTGGAAAGATTGCCCGTGTTTGCTATGCGGGTTCTGTATACACACCCACTGCTTCCTGGCCCAGCAGCGGTGCATATACGCCACGCCCGCATGGCCTCGCCAGGAGGGCGCATACGTGCACAGCTCCTGGGTTCAGGATGGGCCTGGCCAGGGAGCAGTGGCTGTGTAGATTTAAGTCGGGCGTGTCCCCCTACAGGGGGATCTTGGGCGAAAGATAATAAAAAGTGCTCAAAAAATGCCCCCCGAATGAGCAAACATAGTCAAAACAATCGTCCCCCGACTATTTTTTGGCTATCTTTGAATTCTCCCCCTGTAGCGGGGCAGGCCCGACGTAAGACTTCGCCGCCCGAAACCGGGTCGGGGAGAGGGACTGGAATCACTCGATTGACGGCAGGCCCCCGACGGACTGGCGGCGGACCCCCGAGCGCGACTCGGCGTGCCCCGGGGGCGCGGAGGGCTGCCATAGAGGCCCCCGTCGGCGAGCAGTGTGCGAGGGGAGGTCGAGGCTGAATGGGGCCCTGGGACACACAAAAAATTGTCACCAATGACAGTATTCCCCATATTTACCCATAGTTTCGGGGTTTTTGTCTTCCCCCCACTTCCCATATTTTCCCAATCTTTTCGGGGGAATCGACGATCAATCATGTCTGTGTTTTTTTCCCTCCTGAGATGCATCCCCCCGCCCCCGTGGGCCTACAGTAGGAGCCCGACCACAAGAAACCTTCTACAAGAAACCCAACCCTGAGACCCCAGGACGTCCATCGACTTTTGGTGTGTGTGTGTGTGTGAGCGCCACGCTTTCCATGGCAAACCCATCGAACCCCCCAAGAAACCCAGGGCACTCTGGAGGCAAGCGGGGTGCTTCTTGGCATTGGGCCTCCACTATATGCCCCCTGGGCGTTGCCCCTGACCTGCCTGTGTCCCTGACGTCGTGGCACCCGTGCGCCGCCAGGTGCCTGGAGGTGACGCAGCCGTGCGCGGCCACGAAGGCGTCTCGGACGTCTTCCAGCCCCACGCCGGGGAAGGTGTCCGAGATGAGCGGCGGGCAGTTCGGGACAGCCTTTTTCATAGAGGCCTCCCGCATGAGCGACGAAGCGAAACGGATCTTACGCGACATGGCGTATGGGAACTTACGCCGGCCGCGGCTTACGCGGGCCGCCAGCGCGGCACGCTCCGCTGGAAATGAGTGCGCTCACGCGCGACCTGACGCGGGCAGCTTACGCGAGAGTGTCGACAAGGTCCGGGCACGTGGGGTCGGAGGATCGCCGATGCGTCGGCGATAGATACATCGGCGGCGTCGGCGGTGCATCGGCGACGCCGGCGTGGAGAGAATCGGCCCCCACATCGCGCCGCATCGCCGATGCATCGGCGATGCGGCGCGATCCTCCGACCCCGTCTGCTCGGACCCCATGTGGGAGGCCTGGCTTGAAGAGGCACAACAAACACCACCAAAGGCCACTGTCGGAGGTCCGCGAGGATCTCTTGGATCTGCGCCGGGCCCCCCTCGCTGGCGCCGCAGGCGCCCCCAGAGGGGGGGGCCCTCCACGGATCCGAGAGGTCCGAGTGGAGATCCGAGAGTTTTATGCTTGTGCCTGTTCGTTCGTTCCTCTTCGAGCACCGGTTCAGGAGACACAGAGAACAGCACGGGCAAAACTGGGCTGCCCCCCCGAGCAGAGCAGGCACGAAGGCCCGCCGGAGGGATCCCGGAGGGAGGGGGGCGCTTCGCCAGAGGGCGCCGGCAGTGGTGGGAGAGGACCAGGACCGCAGAGAGTCCCACCGGGAAGCGAAACTCCCGAACGAACACGAGCGCGAGCTTCAAAGCTACATGCTTCAGAAACGAGCACGAACGCTCGCCAGGGGCAGTGTCGTTGGTGGCGTCGCGGCAGCCTCTTTCTCCCTCGCAGCGTTTCGCTAAAGGGTTCTAGTGGAACGCAGAAGGGGGTATACTAGTACTACAGTGGGAGCCCGACCACAAGAAACCTTCCACAAAAAACCCAATCCTGAGACCCCAGGACGTCCATCGATTTTGGGTGTGGGAACGCCACGCTTCCCACAGCAGCACCGTCGAAACCCAAGAAGCCCAGGGCGCACTGGAGGCGAGCAGGGTGTCTCTTGGCATGGGCCTCCACTGCAGGGCTGAACCTGAGCGGTGTTTTTCGTTCTCGGTTCGTGATCGTTGTCCTTCGACTTGTCTTCGATCCACCTCTACCGCAAAACGAGGTCGAAACGAAAACGGCCAACGACATCGCCCAAACACCGTTGAGGCCCAGCCCTGCTCCGCTGTATGCGCCCCCCATGGGAGAGGCGCACGTCCGAGCAGGACACGCGGCGCAGCCATCTTCTGGCACGTCGCTGCCCAGGCGGCCTGGCCAGCAAACGCCCGCCAGCGAGCAGCCGCCACAAGATGTCCGAGCGCGCGCGCGCGCCGCCCCTGCGGAGCTGGCTCGCGGGCAGCACACTTCGCACACTCGACCAGGACAGTAAGGATGCGCGGTGAGGACGCAAGGGCCTCGGAACGCCACGTTGACGCTCTCCGCGTGGAGCGCCGCAGGATGCCGAGGGATGCCGAATACCGGAGGGGCAAGGATGCAAGGGCAGCCTTGGAATATTGCCCCATCACTGCTATCATGGTTGACTGTAATTACTTGAAGTACAGTCAACCATGATAGCAGAAGCGCATCGCCTGCCAAACCGCTGCCCAAGGCCGCGCTGGCAAGTCTCAGAAAAGGCGTCTGAGCCAGGCGCGCGGGTCCAACTCTCAAGCGCTAGCGGCCATTAAACCGCATTAAAGTCCATTAAACCATAATTTGAAAAACCTTTGGGGTTGAAATGAAGCTCCCATGCCTGGCCACCTAGTACTTCGTACTGGACATGTTCGAACGGCGCCGCCCCTGACCGTGCGGGCCTCCCCAGGAAATCTGCAGCACCACCGCCCCTCCACTCCTCGTCCCTCCTCCGCCCATCCCGCTCCTGCCCTCCCTCCCGGGGGAGGGAAGGGAGGCGGTGAGGGAAGAGGTGGTGGTGGTATGTATATATGTATCAATACGTATACACATATACATATACATATACACACATATTCTGTATGTGTGATCTGTTGTTGGGGGGGGAACATGAACAGTGGTATAAAGGACCACAGGAGAATCCCACAGGGGGGACGGGGAGGCTGAGGACGCCCGGCCCGGCGACCGCTTCGCCCGAGGCCTCCTCACAGTTTGTTGCTCAGGACTCGGGCTCTCGCCCCCGAGAGCCGTCCGAAGAGACCCCAAGAAGCATCCCTGATGACTCTGGCCCACGTCAGCGCCGTCGTTGCCGCCGCCGCTGTCATCATGGTCGTCTTCCTTCAGGGTCGGCGGCACCGGCCGTAAGGCCTTCGCAGTCTTGCTCTCGCCGCAATGCTGGCTACATGTTTGGCCCAGGCGGCCACGATCCCCGGTGAAAAATAGACTGAGGTACACATGGCCGTGCGTTTCCTGGGAATCCCTAGGAGTGCACGCTTTCACTGGCAGACCTCCTCCTCCTCCTCCTCCTCCTCGACCCACCTCTTCACCTTTGTTGCTGTTTGGGTGCCTTGCTCGGGTACAGGGGGCCTGGAGCATGAAGATCTAACCGCGCCCTTCCGAATGCGAGCGTGTCCCCCCTCAAAAAACATGTAGACATACAGTCGGAAGCAAAGAAAGGGCAACAGTAATGGGGGCACGCGATGAAACAAATGGGAGCGGCACGACTTTAAGAAAGTTTCGCGGGGAGGGGCAGGTAGGACACGAGTAGACCGCGCGCTCGCGGCGACGCTCAGGGTCTCGAGCTCCCCAAAAAAGAACCAGGAGCCCACAAGAGCAAACACAACAGGGCCGGGACGGCCCCATGGGTTTCCAGCCTCAACCAGCCCGTTAAGGGCGTGAGTGGTTCAGCGGGTTTCCTCTTCCAACCCCCTTCTTCCCCTTCGGGGAAAGGTTTAGAACTATTCCCTATGAATAAGCACACACTCCCCCAGGCGACCGGCAGCCAACCAGGACGAATGCCAACACCCCCTCCCATCTCTTTCAAAAACAATTCGAAGCACACTTTGGGGCAAAATCTCGGGTCATGCTCGTGGGCCCCGCGAGCACTTTGCATTATGTTTTGGCCAGGACAGCTGGGGTGCCCTCACATTGCATGCTTTGCGCAGGGCCACCATCCCTGTCAAAAGCAATACAGCATGCACTTCGCGGCAAAATCTGGATCCTGCGCGGCCATCCACCGATCAGTGTCCATCGGTGTTTGACAAGGACCGCGGGAGTGATGGCATATTGCCTGCTCTGTACAGGCCCACCAGACACCAGAATGGCCTCCCCGCCGCGATTGTGCACTGGTTTTCGACAAGGATGGTGAGGGCTGACATGTTTCCCGATGTGTGCTGTCACGTGCGCGAACGCACCTGGCACACTCTGCACGTGCCCCGGACGTGGCGCACCTGGCGCGGCTGGACCATGCGGCACGCATGCGCACGTGGAGTGCGGGGCGCATCTGGTTCGCGAGGCGTGCCTGGCACGCTTGGGCCCCAGGAGTGCCTGGCGCACCTGGAGCGCCTGGAGCGCCTGGCACGCGCACATGGGGTCTGTATTGGTTTCCAATAGCTGCCCATCCGTAGCCGACCGCCGAACATGCTGAAGCCACGGTGCTATTTATGTGCTTTTGAGGGCGGGTGGGAGTGAGCGAGACAGCTTGCGGGTGGGAAGGGTGTCGTGACCCCTCCCCCTACCCTCTGCCCCTGGATGGGGGGGCGGCTGGTCGTTGGAGCATCCAAGATGGCCTCGACGAAAAGGCACAAAGCATGGAATTCACCAAGACTTTGGGCCCATGTTGGCCTCCTGGGGGGGGGCTTATTCAGCACCCCCCCTCGTGCGATCGACATCCTCCAAGATAGCCCCAAGATGGCCCCCAAGGGGTCCCCAAGGGGGCCCCAAGAGGCTCCCAAGAGACCCCCAAGAGGCCCGAAGAGGCTCCCCCGAGGCACCCAAGACGCTCCAAGAGGCCCTCAGGACTGTCATGAAGCCCCCAAGACGCCCCAGGAGGACTCCAAGAAGCTCAAGAGACCTCTGGCCATTCTGCTCGCCCTCCTCCTCCTCCTCCTCCTCCTCCTCCTCCTCCTCCTCCTCCTCCTCCTCCTCCTCCTCATCCGCCTGTTCCTCCTCCTCCGCCTGTTCCTCCTCCTCCGCTTGTTCCTTCCCCTCCCTGCTCCCCCATCCCCATCCTCCTCCACCTTCTCCTCCTCCTCCTCCTCCTCCGCCTCCTCCCTTCTCCTCCCAAGCCCCTCCTCCTCCTCCACCCCTCTCCACCTCCGCCTGTCCTGCCTCCTCTATTCCTCCTCCTCCTCCTCCTCCGCCTATCCTACTCTCCTCCTCCTCCCCCCTCCTCCTCCTCCTCCTCCTCCTCCTCCTCCTCCTCCTTCTCCTCCTCCCTCCTCCTCCTCCTCCTCCTCCTCCTCCCTCCTCCCTCCTCCCTCCTCCATCCTCCATCCTCCATCTTCCATCCTCCATCCTCCATCCTCCATCATCCATCATCCATCCTCCATCCTCCTTCATCCTCCCCCTCTTTGGGTATGACGGCGTCCCTTGCCCATTATTCCACTGCATGCTCCTCCGCATCCCCGATCAGGGCAACTCGCCTGGGCATCGTTTCTAGATGGGCTGGTGGTGCTGCGCCAAGCGTCTACAGTACACTTGTGTGTGATCAGCGCCGTCGCCGTCGTCGTCGTCTAGAATGTGCCCCTGTGCTGCAGCCTTCAGAACGGGCACCTTCTTGATGGCCACACGCCAGCTCAGGTGGCGCCGCAGCGTCTGGGCGAACGGGCGCGACACGCTCCTGCGGAGGCGCCGCGTGCGATCCCGCAGGCGGTCGCGCGACGCCTCCCCCGGCGGCGTGGCGGAGCTGCTGGCGCTGAGGCGGCTCTCGAACGTGGCGGACTTGGCCATGGTGGGCTGCCGTCGGCGGCGAGCACGGGAGGGAAAGCGAGGAGGGGCGGGCCCTCTCGGAGCGCTCGGGGAGTGCCCATCGGGCCGTCGGAAGAAGGCCTTTCTGCGCCCTCCCCGAGGGCACGGGGCGCCCCATCGGCAGGCCGGAGGGCTCCCCGAAGAGCCCCGCCGCCCTCTGCCGGCCATCGCTCGGGCGTCCACTCCCTGTGTTTTTTTTTTTCCGGTCTCGTGCGTGGTTTTTTCGCCAGATGATCAGGGATGCTCCTCGAGGGTCCTCGCCGAGGGAACAATGCACACGTCCGAGCGATGCCAGGCCTCTGAGGCCTCCTCCTCCTCCTCGCTCCTGCCCCTCGCTCGCCGCCGCTGCTGGGCTGCGTCCACCGTCGTGGTGGACCCCGCCTCCGACTGCTGCCTGGGCTAGGTCGGGCCTGCCCCCCCTACAGGGGGGTTTTGGACGAAGAACAAAGAATACCCCAAAAATATTCAAAAGATGCCGCAAAATAGTCCCCAAAAGATGCCCAAATATTCAACACACAAATTTAAAGAATACCCCCAAAATACTCAAAAATAGTCCCCAGACTATTTCTGGACTGTTTTTGAATAGAAGATTCCCCCTGTAGAGGGACAGGCCCGACTTCATGCCTGGGGGACATCTCCCGGGGCACCGCTGGCGGAGCTCTCGGCGCGGCGCGGGGCCCCCCCCCGTGGCAGTGCCTCCGCCGCTGTCGGGGGCGCGCCAACGTGGCTTAGCGATACGTGGCTTCGGCGCGCGGTCGCCAAATCCACGGATCGGGGGAAGTGTTAAGTCGGGCCTGTCCCTCTACAGGAGGAACATCCCAAAATAGTTAAAAAATAGTCTGGGGACGATGTTTTGACTATTTTTGCCCATTAGGGGGTATTTTTGGGGTACTTGTCATTTTTCGCCCAAAATCCCCCTGTAGGGGGACACGCCCGACTTGAGGGAAATGCCCTCCCCAAAATGCGGCCGGTGCCGCCCCGCTCGGCGGCGGAAATCCGCGGTTTCTCATGGAAACGGGACCCGTCGCTAATCCACACCCCGTGAATCCATGTTTGCGATCGCCTGACGCTGGCGCCGCCCTTGGCGCGCTCCTGGGGGGCGCCCCCGGCGGCGCCCCTGGCGCTCTCAGCGCGCCAGGCAGGGGGCCCAGCGCCGATTCAGAACATCCGCGCGAACCTCCAGAAATGTGTTCATGCCGTTTATGCTTCTTCTTCTTCTTCTTCTTCTTCTTCTTCTTATCATTCTGATTATTCCCTACCTAGGCTCTGCCTAGAAGGGTTCTTACCGTGTTGGCTTAAAGGGCCGGGCAGTGGAAAACGCCCCGGGCGGTTCCCCCAGGATCCGCCCCGCGGCTCCCCCAGTGACGTTCCCTTAGCTTAGCGTTGCTTATCTCATCTTAGCTTAGCTTATTTCATCTTAGCTTAGCTTAGCTCCATCTTAGCTCAGGTTTATCTTAGCTTAGCTGACCTTCATCTTAGCTTCATCGAGCTTTAGCATAGCAGAGCACAGCAGAGCATAGCATAGCATAGCGCAGCATAGCATTAGCATGGGTGTAATTCTCTACCTAGGCTCTGCCTAGAGGGTTAGCTTAGCTTAACTTAGCTTGGCTTAGCATAGCGCAGCGCTGCATTAGCATAGCATATCATAGCATTAACATCGCCAATCATAGCATAGCGTAGCATAGCGCAGCATATCATAGCATAACATATCATAGCGTAGCATATCATATCGCAGCTTTGCATAGCATAGCATAGCATAGCATAGCATAGCGTAGCATAGCAGAGTATAGCGCAGCATAGCATGACATAGCATAGCAACCAATGGTGCTTTCCTAGGGGCTCCAACTTCTAGGTAGGGTCGCACTGGGTAATTATTACTACTATTATTGCTATTATTATTATGCTTCTTCTTCTTCTTCTGGAGGAGCAGATAGCCACATGAAGCACAGATTTCTGGAAGTCCGCGCGGATTTCTCGGATCCGCGCCGGACGCCCCTCCCCAGAGCGCGGAGCGCGCCAGGGGCGGCGCTGGAGGCGCCGCCGCGAGGGGGCCCAGAACCGATCCAAGGAGTCCGCGCGGAGCGCCAGGGGGGGGGGGGCTCCGGCGTCGCCCGCCTCGGTGTACCCGGCGCCTCGTGGTTCTCGAAGAGGAGGAGCAGGAGGAGGAGGAGGAGGAGGAGGAGGAGGAGGAGGAGTGAGGAGGAGCAGGAGCGTGAAGAGGAAGGATGAGGAGGAGGGAGGAGGAGGAGGAGGAGAGAGGAGGGGGAGGAGAGGAGGAGGAGGGTAGGAGACGGGGAGGAGGAGGAGGAGGAGGAGGAGAGGAGGAGGGGAGGGAAGAGGAGAGGAGGAGGAGGAGGAGGGAGGAGCAGGAGGAGGAGGAGGAGGAGGAGGAGGAGGAGGAGGAGGAGGAGGAGGCGGAGGGGAGGAGGGATGGAGGAGGAGGAGGATGGAGGAGGAGGGGGAGGGGAGGGCGTGGGGAGGGGGAGGGGGGGGGGAGGGGGCAGGGGTGAGGGGGAGGAGGGGGAGGAGGAAGAGGATGAGGCGGAGGAGGAGGAGGAGGGGAGCCGCCCCGGAGGCGGAGCGGCGGAGTGGAGGAGGAGGAGGTAGGAGGAGAAGGAGGAGGAGGAGAGGAGGAGGAGGAGGAGGGAGGAAGGAGAAGGGAGGAGGTAGGAGGAGGAGGAGGAGGAGGAGGAGAGGGGGGGGAGGAGGAGGAGGAGGATGAGGAGGAGGGCAGGGGAGGAGGAGGAGGAGGAGGAGGAGGAGGAGAGGAGGGAGGAGGAGGAGGCGAGGAGGAGGAAGGAGGAGGAGGAGGAGGAGGGAGGGGAGGAGAGGCGGAGGAGGAGGAAGGAGGAGGAGGAGGAGGAGGAGGAGGGGGAGGGCGAGGGGAGAGGGGGAGGGGGAGAGGGGGAGGGGGAGGGGGAGGGGGGAGGGGGAGGAGGAGGAGGAGGCCAGGAGCGTGTGGTCCTCTATTCTTCGGTATTTTGTTCGGCTGCCACTGCCTGGACTTCGTCAGCATCACCTTTAGGGTCGGGCATGTCCCCCGACAGCCGGATTTTGGACGGAAAATAAACATGGACAAAACATACTCCCAGCATGGTCAAGAGTACTGCAGAAAATCGTTCCCAGGCTATTCTTGGACTATTTTTTGATATTCCTCCTGTAGAGGGACGTGCCCGACTTAGCATCACCTTCTTCGTGCCCGCGGGGCTGGCCGCGGCACCCGGGGAGCACCCGCGCGGAGAAGGCTGAGGGGCGCCGGGCCGGGACAGCAGGAGGCACGGGAGCGCCGCGGGCAGCTCCAGGTCCGACGCCCGGGGGCCATCGTCGTCCTCGGGGGCGGCCAAGAGCAGGGCTGGACCTAAACGTCGTTTTTCGTGGTGTGTTCGTTGTGTCTTTAGTCTTGCTCCGCCTGTTTTCCTGTACCTCCCCCGCCCCAAAACGAGAAACAAGACACAGCAGCCGAAGCCCAGCAAGACATCGTTTAGGCTTAGGTCGGGCGCGTCCCCCTACAGACGGATTCTGGGCACAAAAAAATTAAAGCACAAAAAAGCCCAACATAGTCCAAACATAAACAGAAAAATAGTTCCCATACTATCTTTGGACTATTTTTGAATATTCCTCCTGTAGAGGGACACGCCCGACTTAAGTTTAGGTCCAGCCCTGGCCAAGAGGGGGGCGTCCAAGAAGGGGGGGGCGCAAATCATGGCCGGCGGCATGTGTGGCCAGGGACGTAACGAAATCAGAAGAGGCGCCATGAAATCTGGGGAGATCTCATGGCCCCCGTCATGATATCCGCCCCCGCCTAATCAGAACCCCCCGCTTGGCCGCCCCTGTCGTCCATGCCATCTGCAAGGTCGGCCGGGACTTCGACAACCAGGCCGTCCGCCGCGCCCTGTGGGTTATGTTGTTCCCTTCGTACTCGAGGACCCCATCCCAGAGATAATGTCGAGCACCCAGAAGTAAAGTATCGAAACGGTGCCGGACGAGTCTCGCCTCCCAGGGCACGACACGCGAAAACCAACCTTCCAGTCTCGGTACTTTCTTGGTGCTCGAAATTCTTTCTGGCGATCAAAGCGAAAATAGGAGGGGGAGAGGAAACGGGAAGGGGAGGAGGAGGGAGGAGGAGGAGGAGGAGGGAGGAGGAGGAGGAGGAGCAGGAGGAGAGGAGGAGGAGGAGGAGGAGGAGGAGCAGGAGGAGTAGGAGGGGGAAGGGGGCAGGAGGAGGGAGGAGGAGGAGGAGGAGGGGAGGAAGGAGGAGGAGGAGGAGGAGGAGGAGGGAGGAGGAGGAGGAGGAGGAGGAGGTAGGGTGGAGGAGGAGGAGGGGAGGAGGAGGGGAGGAGGAGGAGAAGGAGGAGGAAGAGGGAGTGAGGAGGAGGAGGAGGAGGAGGTAGGAGGAGGAGGCAGGAGGAGGAGGAGGAGGAGGGGGGGGAGTGAGAGGAGGAGGAGGAGGAGGAGGAGGAGGAGGAGGAGGAAGGAGGAGAGAGAGGAGGAGGAGGAGGAGGAGGCGGAGGAGGAGGAGGAGGAGGAGGAGGAGGAGGAGGAGGAGGAGGGAGAGGAGGAGGAGAGGAGGAGGAGGAGGAGGAGGAGGAGGAGGAGGAGGAGGAGAGTCGGGGAGGAGGAGGAGGAGGAGGAGGAGGGAGGACGAGGACGAGGAGGAGGAGGAGGAGGAGGAGGAGGAGGAGGAGGCTGGAACACCATAACCTGTGGGCCGCGGCAGCACGTCAGCACGCCCAGGCTGGCGCAGGACATGACCGGCGGTGGGCCGTGGGCTGAGCGCACCGCGCGGTGCTGCTCCCGGAGCCCACCTGGGAGGCCCAGACCAAGAGGCGGCTCGGACCACAATGGCAGCGGGCTTGGATTTTGTCCCGGCCATCCTGTGGTGCTGGGTCATCGTTTTGAAGAGGCAGCGCCCCGCGTTCCTCACTCCTTCCTCCCCCTCCTCCCTCTTCCTATCGTCATCATCATCATCATCATCATCATCATCACCACCACCACCACCACCATTATCATCATCATCATCATCATCATCATCATCATCATCATCATCATCATCATCATCATCATCATCAGCATCAGCATCAGCATCAGCATCAGCATTCAGCATCATCGATCCATCATCAGACTCAGCACTCAAGCCCATCAGAAGTCACACGCGATCAGGCATCATCAGGAATCAGCATCGAATCAGCATCACCAGCATCACAGCGAGCATCATCAGCATCGCATCACAGCATCAGCTACACGCATCCCGCATCATCATCATCATCCTCATCAAAGCATCATCATCATCCTCATCCATCATTCAAAATCATCATCAGCATCGATATTCGATTCATAAGTCATCGTCATCGCGTGCATCAGGGCGAGTAGCGTCATCCATCATCGATGCATCATCATCACATATATCATCATATCTCATCTCGTGTCCTCATCATCATCGTCGTCGTCGTCGTCGTCGTCATCATCATCATCATCATCATCATCATCATCATCATCATCATCATCATCATCATCATCATCATCATCATCGACTTGGTCCTCTCGGGGCATCATCCCTGGGAGGCTCTGGAGCCACCTCAGAGCAATCGGGGCCCTTCTTGGGGCACATGAGAGCCGTGCCAGAGGTCATCTTGGGCTATCGTGGCGCCCCCGACGCCATCTTGGAGGCCTGCCATGCCTTGTCCAGCCCTGCCCAGCCTAAGATGGGACCGCGGGCACCGTGGGCTTACGACTTCTGCTGCTGGGACGGGTAGACCGGCTATTGGGGGAAGCCCTCCCAGAGGTTTCCGGACTGGGAGGTGCGAGGTGTCAAGGGTCCGCTGAGGGGCCCAAATGGCCTCAGCATCGCCCCAAATGGCCAGAGGAGCAAAAAAATATAAAACTGTTGGAAGTCCGCGCGGATTTCTTGGATCCGCGCCGGACCCCCCTCCCCAGCGCGCGGAGCTCGCCAGGGGCGGCGCGGGAGGCGCCGCCAGGGCGCTCCAGCGCAGATCCAAGAGATCCGCGCGGAGCGCCCAAAGTTTATGTTTACGCCGTTTTTTCTTCTTCTTCTTCTTCTTCTTCTTCATCTTCGATTCTAGCATGGCACAGGATGGGCAGAGTTGGACCAAGGTTGCATCCGACATGCCTCCAAGACTGCCTCATGTGGTGGGCGGGATGCTCGGGCACTGGCTTTCGCGTCAGCGGCAAAACTCGGCAAGTGCGCCGACCTCCACGCTCTCGTTCCGCGGCCTCCGGGGGACCGGAGAAAACCGATCCGAAGACGGAGGTCGCTGACCTCCAAACATATCAGGGCAATTGCCGCAGACACAGCCAAAGACTGGTTAAAGAAAACAAGCTCGGGGGCTGCGCGTTGGAGACACACGAGGTCACACGTATTTCCGACTCTCGCTCACCCAGGCCCGCCCCGTCATGTGTATGCAGCCTCGTGGTACTCTGCGCAGCAGAGTGCCCGCCGCGTGCTCTATGGTGACTGCGAGGACGTCTCCGGTGCAGGTTTCTAGCTTCTGCTACCTTGAAGCGCACTGAGCAGGCGCACGCACATGTGCATACACACGTAGATGCACATGTGTGCGTGCAAACACACACACACACACGCAAGATATCTCTATAATAATATATAATATATAAATATATATATATATAATATTAAATATAGTATTATATAACGCCATAAACCACGCGTGTACAAACATTCTAAGAAGAGTCCTACGTTGGCGCGCGAGGGATGCCCATTGAGGTGCATGATCCAAGCCAGCCCTGAAAGCAACACCATCCAGGGGAGCACACGCGGACTGGGAAGAAGGAAGCCAGAGAGATGAGAGAGAGAGATACAGAGAGACAGACAGAAAGAGAGAGAGAGAGAGCGTCGGGAGAGAGCGAGGAACATGATGCAAAGTGAAAACTCGGACCATAAGGCCTGCCTCTACTAGAAGAGGTCGTCGAAATCGTCGTCCACGGTGCCCTTCTTGGCCGCGTCCATGCTTGGCTGGGCGCGGGGCGCGGGGCGACAGCGCGGGCTGCGGGTCCGGGGGCGCGCGGCGGCAGCGCGGGGCGAAGGCCGGCGTCTGGTCCCGTTCCGGACCCCCCCCCCATCCACGGGAGGAGGAGGAGCAGGAGGAGGAGGAGGAGGAGGAGGAGGAGGAGGAGGAGGAGAAGGAGGAGGAGGAGGAGGAGGAGGAGGAGGAGGAGGAGGAGGGCGGCGGCGGCGGAGCGGTGCGGCGCGGTGCGGCCCGCATTCCGGCCCCTGCGGGGCGGTCCTCTGCGGGGGTGGGCGCGTGGGGCACGCGGTCCCGGCGGCCAGGGGCGCGGCGGGGGGTGCTTCGCGCAGAGGTGGAGAAATAGGAAGTGGCACGGGGGGAGCTGCGTACAGACAGGCATGAATAGGGGGCCACATGCGAACCCTACCCCTACCCCCCACGATCAAACCGCATTCAGTGTACAAACCCAAATTTTCGGCGCCTGCGGCGGGCTGTTTTTGAATCCCTTCCAGATGTAGGTGGAGAGCCCACGACCCACCCGCGACCCAAACTACGCTCACTGAACAAGCCAAAACTTCGGCGCCTGCGGCGGATTTCTTGTGCATCCGTTCCAAACGGAGGAGGAAAAGGAGGAAGAGGAGGAAGAGGAGGAGAAAAAGGAGGAAGAGGAGGAGGTGGAGGAGGCGGACGACGACGACGACGATGAGGACGAAGACGCGGACGAGGAAGAGGAGGAGGAGGCGGAGCAGGAGGGGGCGGCGGAGGAGAAAGAGGACGGCGCCATCGGCAGGGAAGATGAGGGCCACGAGGTCTGCGTCGCCCGCGCCCGCCCCCTCACTCGTATCCGCAGTTGCGGGGTGGTGCGTATCATTATTAATCTTGTTTTTATTCGTCAGAGTGAGGAGGCTGAACCAAGCGGTCATTCGCTGTCCCTGGGTGCGGGGCTGAAGTGGACTTCCGCGATGCGGATTCTTGTTGTTGTTGTGGCTGTTGTTATTGAACTCTCATTTCTGAAAACGAATTATTGTTGATCCCCCCACCGGTGCATAATGTTTGTTTTCAATCAAAATGTGCCCCTCGACGCCCGCACCCAATTTTTTGACAGGGAAACTCTTGATGCTCAAACTGGGCCCCTGGCCCCCGGGTTACAACAACAACAACGGCTCCCGCCTGAGAGTTCCTTACAATTTAGCCAGGACCCCCACTCCCGCCCGAGACTCCCTCGCACTTTATTCAGGAATCGCGCTCTCGCTTGGGACTTCCTTACAATTTATTCAGGAGTCGCTCTCCCGGCGCTCTGGAATCGCGCTCTCGCTGGAGCCTCGCTAGCAACTTACTGAAGAATGGCCTTGCGTTGGAATTTCCTGCAATTTGCGCAAGCGCCGCCCTCCCGACACCCAGGCACCCAGGAGTCGCGCCCGTGTGTGGCCCCCTCTCTGTCCTACGTGGCCCAATTGCTACCTTCAGTGGCCCCATCGTTGCCTTCTGTGGCCCGCATTATCTGCACTTCGTGGCCCCCGCTCGTTCGCGCTCTTCGTGGCCCCATACGCATTCCCTTCGTGTCCCCGCTGTCGCCCTTCGTGGCCTACTTCGTGCCCTTTGTGGCCCTGCTGTCGTTCTCTCTCGCTCTCGCTTTCGCTCGTCGTCGCCGTCGTCGTCGTCGTCGTCGTCGCCGTCGTCTTCGACGTCGTCGTCGTCGTCGTCGTCGTCGTCGTCGTCGTCGTCGTCGTCGTGGTCGGTCCCCTGTCCGTCCCTCTTGGGGTCGGGTCGACGGTCCGCGGCCGCCCCGCCGATTAGCGCTGCCGCTGGCCAGGGCCCGGCCTGCAGGGAAGATTATCCCGGCAAAGCAACCTAACAGCGATGTGTAGAAGCATATCTGAAAGCATTCCCCTTAAGATTCAGATGAAAATCCAGTTGTAGAATTCTGCTGTTCTCGCAGTCGTAGTCGCATTCGCGATGACAGTCGCAGCGGCAACGGCAGTCGCAGTCACAGCCTCAACCTCAGCCTGCCTCAGCCTCATCCTCAGCCTGCCTCAGCCTCAGCCTGCCTCAGCCTCAGCCTCAGCCTGCTTCAGCCTCAGCCTCAGTCTGCCTTCAGCCTCGGCCTCAGCCTCAGCCTGCCTCAGCCTCAGCCCGCATCAGCCTCAGCCTCAGCCTCAGCCTGCCTCAGCATCAGCCTGCTTCAGCCTCAGCCTCAGCCTGCCTCAGCCTCAGCCTCAGTCTGCTTCAGCCTCAGCCTCAGTCTGCCTTCTGCCTCGGCCTCAGCCTCAGCCTGCCTCAGCCTCAGCCTGCCTCGGCCGCAGCATCAGCCTGCCTCAGCATTCAAAATGTGGCCCAGGAATTGAGTTTTGGGAACTAGAAGAACACGAAGTGGCCTACAGTTGGCTCCAGGCATTCAAAATCATGCCCAGGAATGGAGTTCTGGGAACTTGAAGAGCACGAAGTGGCCTACAGTTGGCTCCGGGCATCCAAAATGTGGCCCGGGAATGGAGTTCTGGGAAATCGAAGAGCACGAAATGGCCTACAGTTGGCTCCGGGCATCCAAAATGTGGCCCGGGAATGGAGTTCTGGGAAATCGAAGAGCACGAAGTGGCCTACAGCTGGCTCCGGGCATTCAAAATGTGGCCCGGGAATGGAGTTCTGGGAGCACCAAGAGCGATTTTGCGAGGATGTCCCAAGCGGCTTCGGCGGCAGCCTCCCCGGGTCCCGCCCCGACCCCCCTGTGGAGTCATCTGCTGCTCTCTTTTGAATCCACTAGAAACCTATCAGCAAAAGCTGTTAAGTAAGAAATATACCCCCCAAGTGCGGTTCGATCGAAAACGGAAAGGGCGGGTATCGAGGGTTTGGGAAATACGCGTTATTGGACACTCGAGCATATAAGGGCGAACGGTCTTTAATGTATTATTGAATTCTCACTTCTGAAAACGAATTATTGTTGATCCCCCCACTGGTGCATACTGCTTTTTCTCCATCAAAGAGTGCCCCTCGACGCTCGCACCTTGTTTTTTGACCCGGAACATCATCCTGCTCAAACTGGGCCCCTGGCCCCCGGGTTATAACAACAACGGCTCCCGCTTGAGACTTCGTTGCAATGTAGCCAGGACCCCCCCTCACGCCCGAGACTTCCTCGCATTTTATTCAGGAATCGCGCTCTCGCTTGGGACTTCCTTACAATTTATTCAGGAATCGCTCTCCCGGCGCTCTGGAGTCGCGCTCTCGCTGGAGCCTTGCTAGCAAATTACTGAAGAATGGCCTTGCGTTGGAATTTCCTGCAATTTGCCAAAGCGCCGCGCTCCCGACATCCAGGCAACCAGGAGTCGCGCCCGTTGTGGCCCCAAGTGCATGCCCTTCGTGGCCCCGCTGTCGCCATTTGCGTCCCCCTCACTGTCCTACGTGGCCCAGTTGCTACCCTCAGTGGCCCCATAGTTGCCTTTGTGGCCCCACATTATCTGCACTTCGTGGCCCCCGCTCGTTCGCGCTCTTCGTGGCCCCATGCGCATTCCCTTCGTGTCCCCGCTGTCGCCCTCCGTGGCCTACTTCGTGCCCTTCGTGGACCTGCTGTCGTTCTCTCTCGCTCTCGCTTTCGCTCGTCGTCGCCGTCGTCGTCGTTGCCGTCGTCTTCGACGTCGTCGTCGTCGTCGTCGTCGTCGTCGTCGTCGTCGTCGTCGTCGTCGTCGTGGTCGGTCCCCTGTCCGTCCCTCTTGGGGTCGGATCGACGGTCCGCGGCCGCCCCGCCGATCAGCGCTGCCGCTGGCCAGGCCGACGGTCCGCGGCCGCCCCACCGCTTGCCGAGGCCCGGCCTGCAGGGAAGAAAAATATAATACCCCCAAAAAGGGGTTCGATCGAAGACGAAGAGGGCGGGTATCGAAGGTTTGGGAAATACGCGTTATTGGACACTCGAGCAGATAAGGGCGAACAGTCTTAAATTATCCCGGCAAAGCAACCTAACAGCGATGTGTAGAAGCATATCTGAAAGCATTCCCCTTAAGATTCAGATGAAAATCCAGTTGTAGAATTCTGCTGTTCGCGCAGGTCGTTAGTCGCCTCGCGATGACAGTCCGCAGCGGCACGGGCAGCCCTCGTTCGCATCCAGCCCTCCAGCCTGCCTCAAGCTCAGCCTACAGCTGCCTCAGCCTCACCTGCCTCAGCTCAGCTCAGCCTGCTTCATCAGCCTCAGCCTCAGTCTGCCTTCAGCCTTCGGCCTAGCCTCACAGCCTGCCTCAGCTCGAGCCTGCCTCAGCCCTCACCCTGCACTCACATCAGCTGCCTCACAAAGCTTCAGCTCTGCTTCAGCTCAGCCTCATCCCTGCCTCAAAAGCCTATGACTTCAGCCTCCAGTCTGCTTGCAAAGCTCAGCTCAGTCTGCTTCCGCTTCGGCCTCAGCCTCAGCCTGCCCTCAGCCTTTCTCCTTGCTCGGCCGCAGCATCCTGCTG